ATGTTAGATTCTCGAAAACCTTCAAGGCATCTCCAAGTGTTCTTGAATTAAACACTTCCATTCTTCAACAATCATCTACTGAAATCACTTAAGGTGAGTTCATACCCCTACATTTTCATGTTTTCTCAAGTTTTTAAGGGGGGAATACAAGTTAAAACACTAAGAACATAACTAAATTTCTCTAACAGCCTTCATCAGAAAAGTTCAACTCCATTCACGTACTGTTTTGGGCATCTTAAACATTTTTGTTTTCAAAACTATACAAGGTGCAAATAGTTCAAGTTCTTAGCTTTAAAATGGCTACTTGCACATCTCCATACAATTTTTCTACAATTTATGGTGATTTTTACAAAACTTCCTATCATTTCAAACAACAATCCGGACCAGTCTGTGATTTTGGACTTATTCACTCAAGTTGGAAGTCATTAAAAATCGTGATAAAAATTATGAGTAAACTAGACACATTTTGCAAACTCTCAGAATTTACGGATCTAGTTTTCGACTTCGTATGATTTTTCCAAAAACAGGGCAGAATGGCTAAAGTTAGCCAATAGCATGTAAATATCATAACACTTTGTATTATGTTGAGCAAAGTGTATAATCATAAGTTCTAATATTTGAATGTGTTTCCTTGTTAGTTTACCATTATGAACTAAAACTAAGTCATTCATATTAAATATTATTCATTCATTTAGAACACGTATTATCTAACTATAAAAAGTATAGTTTGATAAATTCACAACACTAATACATTTCCATAAAATAATTCATACATATTACATACATTTTAGATAAACTATAATAGGTATAGTTTATGATTCATCACTCAATGCACTCGTACAAAAAGGGTACATTCATACAAGAAAGATTTATATTCACACACACATTTCACGTAAACTTGTTAACCTATGTTGTGAGACTCTCTCTCTCCCCGTACGTCCGAGTGCGGGATATAATTCCTGGTAGTTATAATCAAAAATCTCCTTGAGGGAGAACGTGATACTTGTATATAGATCTATATTGGGTTTGACACCCCACACCTTGCTGCTAGCTACAGTGGGACCTGCAGGTCTACGGGTGACAAATGTCATTTCATTTTCGCAACGCCTGAGAAACGTTGTGACAGGTTCACATAGTCACAGTATGATTATAGCGACTCACCTAGGGAGATAACAATTCATAAGGTTTACAGGGTTTCATAAAACCGAAGTAGGTTTTAGATTGATAAAGAAATTTACTTTCCATATCATTTTAAACTCACGACGTTTCTACTAAGAAATGATGATTTCTTATACATTTTAGTCTTTGGTTATAAGGCTACATTTTTCGGATTTCAAGGAAAATATCGGATTTTTCTGACACAAACGCGACATTTACATGTGATAGACTTCTACTAAGTTTATTAATAAAAGCTTATGAACTCACCAACCTTTGTGTTGACACTTTTCAAACAACTCGTATTCTCAGGGAAACACTAAACAGGTAATCAAGTGCTTTTGAGGATGGGACGTTAAGACGTCAAACTTTTCATATTTTGTCAACATATTGTAATTGATTTTGAAACATGTAATTCATACAAGTGATGTAACTTTTTCAATTATATATATATGTTGGTTGTGTTTGCTTAAATTACTATTGAAATTGTGGTTATGATACTATACATGAAGTCCTCCACCCCCGGACGTTTCCGCCATCCTTGGTTTGGGGGTGTGACATAAGGGAAGGTCTAGGCGTTGTTTCGGGAGTTTACCGCCCAAGAACACCTTGGGGAGTAAACTCCTAAATCTAGTGATTTAGCCTTCTAAATCATGTTATAACTGCATAATAAAGTTTCTAACACTAGTAGAAAGAGTTACTCACGTTTTGGTATAAAAACCCGAAGATCCGTGAGAGAGAAAATGGCTTTTCTCTAGTTGGAAATGCGAATAATGAATGAATTTGGTTCAGAATTCTATTTATAGTCCTGAGATTTTTGGCAGAAAATATTTTAGTTCCGAAATGATCTCTAATATAATAGAGTGTTGGAATAACAGTGTTGCACAAAACTCTAGTGCATCCACTCTCCTGATATTTCCTGAAGTGTAAACCCTAAATTACTCAAACTTATACGGAAAAAGTCTGAAAGTTTACTGTGACTGATATAACTTCTATTGAAGTGTTATTGTTTATACAGAATGGAAATTCCGGGTTGTCACAGTCAAGATTTAAATCAGGACGACGAACTCGAGTTAGAAGAAATTGAACGCCCAATGGGTAGGGACAAAGCGAAGAGAAAGGGAAAATGGACTACTTCGAGTGCATCTGATTTCAATGATAACATCGTCGTTTGATCGATAAAATCTAAATTTCTCTGAACGTTTGGCTTTCGACAAAGAAAAAGAAGAAACAAGGAAAAATGAGCGGGCGGAGAGACAAGAAATGGAAGACATGAAGTTTTTGATGGAAAACGTCGATCATCTCTCGGGACCGGCTCTCGAGCTCGTAATGAAGAAGAGTGAAAAAATTCTGAAAAAATATTTTCTGTAGGTCATTGGTGGTTTGTTTGATTTTTAGTTTATGTGTGTTTTTTTCTACTTTTTTTTTATATAATTTAGGTTTAATGTAAGTTTTATTTATATTAATGAAATGTTTTTTTATTTTTAATTAAGTTTTATGTTTAGTATTAATTTAAAAATTATAATTCATAACAAAAAAATTAATTTTATTTAAAATAAAAAAAATAATAAAAAAAAAAGTGAAGGAAATGTTTCCCTCCCACTCCTTGACTTTTAGGTGAGGGAAAGAAAGGTATGATCCACCAAAAGTGAGGAAATCTTCCCTCTCACTCCTTTCAGTATAGCGTAACATCTTCCATGGTTAACCACATGGATTGTTTGAAAAAATTAAATATCTTCGAATATTTTCTTCTCATTCATCTTTATATCCATATTAAATGGCGACAAATATGTTAAGATATTATTGATTTTACTAAATGTAACATTATTTAAAGTAGATAGACTCATATTATACTTTAAAATGTTATTAATTTTATTAAATATGATATTTGTTATCGTTTAAAATATATAAGAGAATAAATATGAATTATATATATATATATATATATATATATATATATATATATATATATATCACAAAATCAGTCTCTGTTAAATTGTTTTTGATGCAAATAATCATTTATTTGCAAAACTTGCAACGTTAACCCTTTTTACTAACACCGTAAGTAAAACGTTTTTAAAGATTGAATCTTTAAAGGCATTTTCATATTTTTTAAATATGAAAGACTTAAGAAAAAGTACTATTGGATTTTAAAAGATAAATAGAAGCAAAATTTAGAAGTTACATTTACACTGAATAAAATTAAACTTGGTTTTAACTTAATTTCTGAACCTATCTAACCTATTACTGAACCGATCAACGGGGTCTAGTTCAGACGGCCCAGACTCGCACGGCGAAAAGAAATCAAATTGAGGTTTCGAAGAGAATAACCCTCCGGAAAAGATGATGAAACTACCATATCAATTTCCGAATCCGAACCACTAGAATCCGATTCAAATCGCATCCATGGCATCCACAAGCTCCTAAATCGTTTAGGTACTATATTCACTTTCATTCATCGTTAAAGACTACAAGTGCTTAAAATAAAAACCTTTCTTCAGTTGTTTCATCTTTTTTAGTTAGATTTCTCAGAAACCGACGAAGATCTTTACTTTTCTACCATCTGTATAAGTTTCCTTCATCTTTATGCATGTTTTCCACCATCTGTAGCTACATTTTTTGTTCTGTCGGTTTTAGCATGCAAGGTGTTTGTTGATATGCCTCAAAGGGCACATGACCTTACTTCAAATGTTTTCACTTTCACCCTTTACTCTTTTGAACCATGTTTAAGTACAGGTATGGTGTTGCAGGTAAAGTCTTACATCAGCTTCTAGCTTTTGGTATCGGAGAAATTTCCCTAAACTTTGTTGTGAAACAGGTATCCCTGCTACACCTACTATTCCTTTTTCTGTTGTAATTACTTCTTTTTGTTTGATAGTATGTGGATATCTGCTCCATTGTCTTGATTAAATGCCACAATGCACCTAATAAGTGATTCACTCTTAACTTATGTGAATACCAATAAGAAGAATCTCATTCAAATATAAACGATTCACAAGTGGCTCTTCACCTTAGAAAAACATCCTGCTTTTAAATGCATATGATCTGTATTATTGTAAGTTGTAACAGAAAACAAACAACATTCTTGTTGCAGATAATTCATCACAATCATGACAAATAACAACACCACAAAAGACGATGAATATGGAGTCTTGTTATACTACAACTACACCAACATCCCAAATCTCACTGACCTCTCCACCTTCTACACCACCAACTGCACCACCCTCTCTCTCCTTGGCCGCATCCGCCTCTCCCCTCACGGAGTCAACGCCACAATCGGCGGTCAACCCTCCTCCCTAAAACAACACATCACCCAACTCACCCAAAACTACCCTTCCTTCACCTCAACCGATTTCAAACTCTCAACATCCACAAAAAACCCTAAAAACAACAACAAAATAGCACAAGAAACCGGTTTCACATCTCTCTCAATCCGAATCGTTAAACAACTCGTCACTTTCACCTCCCGCCCTCTTCCCAACCCGCCCGAACTCTCAATCTCAAACGCCGGGCAGCATCTATCTGCCCGAGAATTCCATTCCGTTCTTGAAACTGCCCGAGATTCGGGAAAACAAAATCTCGTGCTCTTAGATGCGAGAAACTTATACGAAACAAGAATCGGGAAATTTTGTTCTCCGAATTTTGAAACTTTGGATCCGAAAATCCGACAGTATAGCGATCTTTCCAATTGGGTTGATGATAATTCAGAAAAGATACGCGGGAAACAGATTTTAATGTATTGTACAGGTGGCATTAGGTGTGAGGTGGCATCCGCGTATATCAAATCTAAAGGGGAAGGTTTTGAAAATGTTTTTCAGTTATACGGAGGAATTCAAAGGTATATGGAAGAGTTTCCGGAAGGTGGTTTTTTCAAAGGAAAGAATTTTGTTTTTGATCATAGGGTTTCGGTTGCCAGCTCAGATCCAAGAATCTTGGGGAGTTGTCTGGTGTGTGAAATCCCGTTTGATGATTATTCTTCTAGAAGCCGATGTAATTTCTGTCGGATGTTGGTGTTGGTGTGCCACTCGTGCGAGGGTAAAAATGGAAAGTTATTTGTTTGTGAGTTATGTCAGAAATACGGTAAACATGGAAAAAATTCAAATGGAGAAAATTCAAATGGAAAAAATTCAAATGTCATTATCGCCCCTCGGAAAAAACTTAGGGTTTTATGCTTACATGGGTTCCGACAAAACGCGTCTAGTTTCAAAGGGCGAACCGCGTCTTTTGTTAAAAAACTAAAAAACATCGCCGAGTTTGTTTACATCGACGCGCCACATCAGCTCCGGTTCATCTACCAAGAGAAAAACGACGCTGACGTGGCACTCACGCAACCGAAATCCGGATGCAACAGAAAGTACGCGTGGTTGATCGATCCGAACGATGACGTTGACAAAAGTGGGGACGCGGGTACGGATTGGGAAACGGGTGGGGCCCACCGTTTTGATTGCAGACAGTACGAGCGCCAGACTGGCGGTTTTGATGAGTCGTATGTTTATCTGAGAGAAAAAGTGGCGGAAGAAGGACCGTTTGATGGGGTTTTGGGGTTTTCACAAGGGGCGGCTATGGCGGCTTGTGTTGCTTTGAAAGGTGAGATGGGTTTTAGATTTGTGATATTGTGTTCGGGGTATTTTTGTAATTTTGGTGAGTTTGGTGAGGGGAGTTTGATTAAGTGTCCTTCTCTTCATATATATGGGAGTGATAATGGGAAAGATAGACAAATAGGGTTTGATGAGAGTAGAAGACTTGCTTTGATGTTTGAGGAGGGGTGTTCGGTTATGGTGGAACATGATTTTGGTCATATTATTCCTACAAAGTCACCGTATATCGATACGATTAAAGATTTTCTTCAACGATTTCTTTAGGAGCTGTTTGGTAACCTCTGAATCAGTCAGCATTCAACATGTTTGATACAGACTAAAATCATGTTATGCAACGGATTAAACTTATCTAATTATTTGATACAAATGTTATGTTGGTTCAATTGACTTGGAATATTATTTGGTAAAAGAAATGTATTTGTTTTTTTGTTTTCTAAAGAATCTAGTTTGTTAGATGGGGTGCATAATAATCATTATAATGTGAAAGAGAACTAATCGATTTGGAGATTTATTTTAATCGTAATGGAAACGAATGTACATACGATTGGTAAATGGTAATGGTTGTTTGGCAATTGGGGAATATTTAATGGGATATTTGAATGTTTAATAATTAAGAAAAACGGGTTAATAAAAGATGTGATTTGAGTGAATATAAAATGGACACATGTTACATTATACATCTAGCTTTTTTATTTTGGTTTGTTGTTGATAGTATAGGTGTCTTATGGCCCATTTTTAAAATTCTTCATCCCAATCATTACAGACACAATAAAGTTTTGTTAGCACATAAATTGGAAGTTGAAGACCGACTCCATTTTGTTTAGTGATCGTCTAATCGAACATGTCGAATATATATATATATATATATATATATATATATATATATATATATATATATATATATATATATATATATATATATATATATATATAAACACGAAAATTCTTATGAGAATGTAATAATCAATCTTGGTCACTAAACAAAAAAATTATTTTGGCTATTAATGGGAGAAGTTTTGAGCTGCCAAAGAACATTTAGGTACTTAATCTACGACTCTATGTTGATTATTATATTGATTTCCCCATAACACCTTTATTTAGTGTTTAGTTTTTGTTGGAAAAAACAAATATATCATAATTCATAAATTTTTATTCTATATAAAAAAAAGACATTTATAAACACAATATTAACTTCAAAATTTTAGCTAGCTGAATGACCATTTTTTTTATATATATTCAGGATCACCGTATTCACTTGTACCAATATGGCAATATCGCTAATTTTTATACAAATCATTTGGTCATCCATGTATGTCATTCTTTTCCTAACTTAAACTTTTGACCTGATTTATTAACTAATTAATTAAATGTTAATTTAGTTATTCAAAACCAACCAACTTGGAATTTAAATCAACTATTTTTATTTAATTCTAATGTAAAAGTTTAATAAAACTTTTTAGTTTGGTTATGATGAGTATTAGAGCATAAAACAACGGAAACATGAAATATAAAACTTGATCATCATCTCTCATGGAAGGTCTTGTTCGATTGACCTTTTAGCAATAAAAACTTATATCTAGAAGTGTGGATCAAATCAATAACTTGTGCTTGTGGGTATGCGTTAATTTCTTTATTTGTCTTGGATGAGGGAGATCTCAAACCAAAACTCCTCTAATGTAGTCACACCCCAAAACAATGGCCAAGGCGCCAAGCAAAACGACACGTCATTCATTTTTTTTGGTGGCCAAAACCGAACCGAGAAAAATGATATTGTCCAACAAAAAGAAGCATTGTTTATGGAGGCTAGGAAGTTGATCCAATGATCCAACTGTTTAGAATGTTGGTATGGATGTTAGGAAGATGCTTTTAAAAAATAAAGAGAATTACCGAACAATGCACCTAGGTCATAAAAACTAGAAATTGAAGAGAAACTGAGAGGGAGAGGATGGAGAGAGGTTGGTCCCTTCTTGCATAAGGTTAGGGGTTTATTTGATGTACATTATATCCTAAAATTGGTATGTTTGTCGCTTTATGTAGTGGTAAACGCGGTACGGTTCGGTGCGGTTATTAGCCAAACCCTCACCAGTCACCATTAACCGCAAATGCGGTTAATCCATTTTCAAAACTGCTTAGTGCGGTTATTTTTGCGGTGCGTTTTTTTTTTTTTTTTTTTTAAATGTTTTTTGTTTTGTTTTGTTTTGTTTCGGTTATTAACCACATGAATTTGTTGCGGTTATTTTGTGTAGTTTTTAACCACAATTTAGAGTTCAACAGTTTTAAAAGTTCAAACATATTATTTGTAATAATGAAAAAAAACATAAAGTATAAGACAATTAACTTAAATTAAAAACAATTAATATCTTAAAAAAATGAAATCACTAGTAATTAACAATAAAAATCTTAATATTGTAAAGTATCACTATTTTTCAAAGTTACACATAACAAAATAATAATAATAATAAATAAATAAATAAATAAATAAAAATAAATAAAAAACTAAAACGTTTGTCTTTTAGTATTTTATCGTGTGTTTTCAATATTTAATATATCAATAATTAATTAAAAAAAATTATATATATAATATATGCGGTGCAGTGCAGTTTTTCAAAAAATAATAACAGCACCGCTCCACAAATTTACGGTTTTTGAAAAACAAAAAACCTTACCATCGGTTTTTATCGCAGTTACAGTTTATCGGCTGCGATTTTTGCGGTTAATTTTATTTGCGGTGCGGTTTTTGTTCACCGGTAGCTTTATGTAAGGGATTGTAACATTCAAAAATATGATCCCAAAAATTTCATTTTAATGATAGATAAAATTGTATTTTACAACATCATCTAAATATTTAAATAAAAATCAATGTATCAATTGCCATAAAATCAGAGTAAAACATCATAAGCAAAATCTCAATGGTGTGTGTGATACAGTCATCCTGAGTTCTTCCATTTACAACCAGAAGTACTTGAAACATAAACTAAGATTTGTAAGCACGGATCGTAGTGAGTTCCCACCAAAATACAACATAGCAAGCATACAATAAAGATATAGTTGGCCCCGACTTGTCATTGGGCCCCGCCCGACATCGGATCCCATTCGGCATCGGGCCCCGCCCAACATACAATAACATATATCAAATGAACACATACACATACAGTAATCACATAGATACATATCATACAAATATTCATCAAGCCCCGCCCGACATCGGGCCTTAGCCTAAAAAACATAAACACACAAGCCCATGCAAGAGTCACAAAGACAATTGACATATTTACAACATATCATAAACATGGGTCGGCATCGCTGCCTTCGACCTGCTAAACCCGATAAGAAAACTCACCTCGATAAGCTGATTGAAACGAATGATCTCTAACTGTCGGTCCTACAGCTCTTTGAGCTAATAATTTCCAAATAAAAGCTAATCAACAAAGGGATCTACCTCATTACCTAAAAATCCCCACTTGGGGTAAAAGACTATTTTACCCCGAACATAACTTGGTCCTTAAATCACAACCCATGACCCAAAAGATAAACAATCCCATGAAGCCCAATTTTCAATTGGGCCTAATCCTTTTACATGGGCCTTAGCACAAGGCCCAATAATGTTTTTCTAGCTCACTGTTCCAGTTCCATAGGGTCTATCACGACCCAAGTCACTAATCCATAAAAGTGACCCAAACCGAGGCCCAAACAACTCAAAGCCCAATTCAGTGAGTACGTGGGGCGTACTCATCTGTACGCTAAGCGTACAGGTTGCATGGCTTACGCTAGGCTGCATGGCGCGTATAAGCTAGTACGTCATCGTACTCTCTTGATAAGCCATAATCCTAAAAAGCACTTAAATCCTTAAGATCTGAGGCTCCATACACATATATGAGTCTAATGAAGGGTCTTAACCCATAAAATCGACCACTTGGTGGCTTGCATGCCCTAAATGAACCCAAACTTGGAATATGACAACCTACTTCCTTGAAAATGACCAATACTCATGCATGGGTGCTTCAAGACCCCGAACATGGCAACTTTATGACTTAAGGACTCAAATAACACCAATAGTGGCAAATCTAGGCTTAAGAAACGACCTTGATCAATAAAGCTTCATCAATGGGACCAAAAAGTACAAAACCTCAAACACAAGATATCTAAGCATCATAAGGCAAGTTCTGAACTTTATACCTTAAATGAGTGCTAAATGATGATAATGTTTCGGACCTTCAAGCTCAAGCTTCACTAACTCTCCTTCACCAACTTCCTTTTCTCCTTTCTAAAGCTCCAAGCTACCAAAAATGAACTCCATAAGGTCAAAAACACAAAAGGATGATAAGGGTTAGATTTTAGGGTTTATGAGCTAAGGAGGTAGATAAGGAGGCTGGGGCATGGGACATAATGCCATATTTATATGGCTTGAACCCTAAAAATTAAGGTTTTGAGTCAGCACACGTACGATGTGCATACCACTTAGTATGTTGTGTGTACGTTCATGGCTCCGCGTTTTCCTTGATCTTTCTATTCCCCACGTACGCCAGGCTTCCGCCCAGCATATGACTTCAGCTAGCCCAAACACGAAGAGGCCCAACCTCTAAGCCCGAAAAACTTCATGGCCCGAGATAAATAAATGCAAGATTAAATAAAGTAGCAATACCTTGGAATCACGGATGTTACAGGGATAAATACTTACCAATTCATATAAATAATAATTACACTTTGACCCTTTAGTATCTAATTAACTCACCATTAGGTGACATGTTAATAACTAAACCCTTCAATTTTTCTTTTTGTAATTTTATGCTTAAATAATGTCTTATATGCAACCCAAAATGACCATGTTATTAACAAAAATAGTACTAACTTTTTATGATAATAGGCATATTTCCAATAGTCTCCCAATTATACATGTCATAACAACTGCATATTCCTTTCTATCTTTAAAGTTAGAAATGATCAAATATTCCTTTGTTTTGTGCCATACAAGACTACAACGGTACTCATACCATAAAGGTATAAACTATCCTTAATAAATGATCAAATATTCCTTTGTTTTGTGATATCCATATGAAAGTAACACATGGAAGTGTGTAAATCAAACATTTAAGATTATGTTTCCCGATAGAGATTTATGATGACCAACCACATACTACAATATTGATCAATTATCAACTTAGTCTAAGTGTGACCATGCATTTGATGTCATCACCAAATCATTTAGGGGCCCATGATATCACTTATCCTGTTAGGACAGAATGAACAAATAAAATTTGACTGCA